GCAGCACTAAAATCAAGAGACTCATATAATAAACACAACAGCAAAATAAGGAAATCTGACTTTTCAATTCAGTTCAGTTTATTTTTATAGCACCAATTCACAAAACATGTCATCTCAAGGCTCTTTAAAGTTCACCAGATCATCCAGTCAAATTGATTCAAAGTTTTTTTTTCTAAAGAAAACCAGCTGATTCCATCGACTCATTGACTCAAAGGCAATCCCTCACACTAAGCATGCTTGTAGCGACAGTGGAGAGGAAAAACTCTCTTTTAACAGGAAGAAACCTCCAGCAGAACCAGGCTCAGTGTGAGCGGCCATCTGCTGAGGCTGACTGGGGTTCAATTTGTCTAAGTATAAACAATTTGAATCAGATTTTTAATATTTAAACTTTAATTCTATTTTAGATCCTTTTTTATTTTATTCTAAATTCAAAGCTTTTTATTTGGTCATTGAGAGATTAGGTTAATGGTGACTGATGGGAGAAATGCAAGCTTAAATCACAAAGTTTTATTTGAATAATTTTTTTCTCTTTTATATATTTAGTTGTGAATAGTTTAATCCCAGCTAGAGTCTATAAAGTTGCTCCTTTCTGTAGTTCCTGAATATTTATATCCATGTTTGGAAATCTCAAGGAAAGCAGACCTGCTGATGGAGGATTTCATCACACGCAGAACCTTTTTTTGCTGTGCAGAACATGCAGACAGAAAAGAGCAAATATTTGTCTAAACATGCCTGTTCCTCTGGGAGGACCGAAACTGAAAAATGTCGGAATTTCATGTCAAGTTGACCATGTCAAGAAAATAAAAACAAGAATGCAACCCCATCTAAGGATGTCCTGAAATAACAGAAAGGGTCCAAATAAAGTGGTGGAAAGATCCGGATGGAAGGAAAAGCTCAAACCAAGGAGCGGTGATGAGAGGGAATTTACTCTAAGGATTACAGAGAACACTTCTGTAGATTAAGGAGGACCGCTTAAAACACAGATCCTCAGAAACATCAAGAAGCAAAATTAAGTTTTATCAGAAAACATTGTGATCGCCACAAACTGACAAGGCCACCAGAGGAGACAGACTCCCTGCAGGCTTTAAAAGAGAAACGCCTTAAACATAACATCACATTGTGTTAATGCCCTTTACTTTGCAGGCAGAGAACTAAAACAAATAAAGAAAAAACTTTCACATGGATTTAAGCATCCTTAACCATAAGGTAGATGGAAAATTATTTAAAAACAGGCATTTATGATCAACTATAACTCTGACCCCTAAATAATCTAATCTAATTTTACCGACCTCAGGATATACTTTGTTAATCCAGCCATCTTTAATTTAATAATAATCTACTGCTGCTCATTCCAACTGATCAGAACATGGAGGATGTCCACCTGAATGGACCGACTGGATAAGGAGAGCTTTAATCAAGAGAAGAAAGGTGACATGGAGGAAGCTGCAAAGATCAGCTGGAATAACCTGCCAACTAAAAACACTATTAGATTTCACTTTACAGATCTGGTGGAGCAGCAAGAAAAAAGCAATTGTTGAATTATGGGAACAGCTGATGGGAAGATGGAAGGAAATAAATCCTGAAAGAAAACCTGCTTTCCTGCAAGATGATAACCACAGTATGAAGAAGAATAGGTGAAAACTTTAGATAAAGGGAGAAGAAATTAGCTAGAGAAGCTTTCTTCTTAGAAATGATGAACTCAAGAAGCGATGAATGCTAAAATGTTGAAAGGTTCAAACATGATATTTCTTCCACAAAACAACTGTTCTCTACTTTGTGTTGGTATTTCAGCTACAATTCCAATAAAACACAACAAATGTCTTCATCTTGATGCTTTTCCATAAATCAGATTGTTTTTATGTTTGGTCACCGGAGTCTTTAATGGCTTAGAACGGAGGTCTTCAACAGGGGGTCTGCTACCTCTAGGGGTCCACAGAGGTACTGCATGGGGGTATTGAAAGTTTTGGTTGATTAAATACACATTAACAAGCTGGGCACCGTTTCATTCACAACACCTGTCCCATCGACCAGGAATCAGAATCAGAAATACTTTAATAATCCCAGGAAGAAATTAATTTCGTTACATGACTCCATCTGTAATAGAGTGACTATAGGACCAGTTTAATATAACACAATTTTATACAATATATATATATATATATAATTAGGGGGTCCCCGCTCCATCTCACCATCAGTATGGGGGTTGGCCTGGAAAACGTTGAAGACCCCTGGACTAGAAGATTCTTTTTAATTTGATTCTGATCAATAAAACTCACAGAAAAAAACAAACCTTGATGCTAATTCTTCACACAGCAACAAAAACCAAATGTTTGGTTTAAGCTTGACTCTGCAATCAGCCTGGGTCTCTATGTTCTGCATGTTATTATACATTATATTGCTGTAGAGCTTTTTCTTCTTCTTATAGAATTTCATGGTGGTTGGCCAATCACTACATCAGATAGCACTGCTGCCTTGTAGCAAGAAGGTTCTGGGTTCGATTCTCAGCCCGCTGTCTTTTCGGATAGAGTTTGCATGTTCTCCTTAAGCATGCGTGGGTTCTCTCTGGGTACTCCGGCTTCGTCCCACAGTCCAAAAACATGACTGTTAGATTAATTGGCTTCTCTAAAGTCCCCTCAGGTGTGAGTGTGTGTGTGAATGGTTGTTTGTCCTGTGTGTCTCTTTGCTGCCCTGTGATGGACTGGCAACCTGTCCAGGATGGACCCTGTAGACAGATGGAGATAGGCACCAGCACCACTCACAACCCCAGCAGGGATAAAGCATTACAGAAAATGGATGGATGTTTATGGGCCATCTAGCTAACTGCTAAATTAACCGACCTGGTCCCTAGAACATGAAAAACATTTATCAATCACAAAAAAAATTAAAATGGCACAGAATAATAACACACATGATTAATGTTCACAGCCTTGAATTGAGCAATTGTTTGATTTTGTCATAGATCTGTTCAGATCTGGAAGAGATTTCAGTTCAGTTCAGTAGGTGTGCATTATCACGTCTTAAAACTACTTCCTTCCACCTCTCCTCCATTTTTCTCATTCTCCTCTGATTTCTATAAAACATCTGCCTTTCTTTCTTCTTCTTTCTTAATAAAATGTTTTCATTTCCATGATAATTTAAGATCCAACTGACCTTGAATTATCTATTTCACATAGATGTGTTCAGTAGCCTCTTTTGCTGGTATCTATGCAAGTGGATTAAATAATCCCATCATATTACATCTAATCAGCGTCTTATTTATTTATTTTTAAGCGTTTTGAAGCACATCAGATCATTTTATATGGCAAATAGATGTTATCATCTTACTTCTAAACAGTGTTTGCTGTATTTTTTATCAAGATGTCTGCTCTGCGCTCTGAACAACTGTTTTTATGCTAATTAATGAAAGCTGCAATCTGAGAACATAATTGAACCTAATGACCAATGATCTTCAATCCACCCAGGAGCTAGTAGTGCTGCTATAATTAACTTATCCTTTTATTATTCAAATTATCCTTTACTTTTTTCTGTATTTTCATCCCAAACTGAGGAATAATGTACGTTACAATGATTATGCATCTGCATATATTTTAACATATCAACAATATCTATCAATTATTCTTGAACTGTATCTGAGTTTCCTTTCTGAATCATCAATAGTTCACCTCTACTATAGTCTCTGTAAGTAACCCTGGACTTATAATTGTTGAAGGCACTGATCTTAAAACTACTGATCTGAATTTCAGTTTTATGATTTAAGTTCAATCAAAACTTCTGGTTTGTTTATTGTCGTTTTCCCAGCATAGTTTTACCACTTCTGGTTAGAAATATACCCAAACTTGGCTGATGGTTTTGGTAAATAATATGGGATGACATTTTTCCCATTGTTTTTGGAAGCATAAAAAAAAATTATGATAATTTGTTGATCGGAATTTAAAAATAAAAAAAAAGGAAAGAAAAAACGCAAAAAAGAAATTAACCTTAAAAAAATAAAGTATTCATTAAAAATGTTTTGAAAGCAACTTGAAAATACAAGTATGTAAAAAATAAATAAACAATAAATAATATATAAATAAAAATTGAAAAAATATAGTAATAAAAAAACAAAATACTGGAAAGTAGCTAAGCTAGCAAAGGTTTTCAAAAGTTTCTTTCCTGGACATATTCTTTCAATTTCTATGTACAAATCCCATGTTATGGTTGCAAGAATAACTAAATAAAATTCAAACCATACAATATTGGCTTATTTTTTTATTGATTTTGGCCGATATTTCCCTGCACACACTGAAAAATATAATGCAACCGCCTTAGACATTTACTTAATCATATTTAGCTCCCTTAACACAATTGCTTTATGTCCTACACTGAAAACATTAAACAATCATGTTAAAAGTAAGTAAATATAATTAAGTAAATGCCAAAAACGGTTGCATTATTTTTTTTCAGTGCATATCCATCCCTGCACTGGCTGATTCATCAGCGGATTCAGCAGTCAAGGCTTGAGATCATGTCCAGCATATGTATCGCCTGATAAAGAATATATTTATATACATGTTTAAGCCAGAATGATTTGACATTTAAATATGACTTCCCTACGAATTTAATAAAAACCTTTAATAAAAAAAGTCACATTTTTGGATTTCATTTTTATTATTTAAATTTACAAAATGTGTTTTTTTCTTATTCTTAATTTTAAAAACTGTTGTTTACTGTAACAGAAATGTAAATAACTCCCCTTATAATCCTCTACCTGCTGTTTTAAACACCCCAATAATAACTTCTAGTGTCTGACAGTAAATAATACTCATTGTTTTTTGAACAATAATCCCATAATCTAATACTAATTTAATCTATTCCATGAACATCCCTGTTTCTTCCATTTAGTCACCTCATGATGTTAAATATCTAATTTTATCTTTCAGGTTTTAATGAGGCTTCTCCATGTCATTCCCTCATCAGGGTCTACTTGTCCTCAGGTGGATCCATAATAAATGCTGACTCACCTGTCGGCCAGGTGGGCTGGCCGGGGTGTGAAACGGTGTAATGGCCGTGGAGGTGGGCCCAGGTCTGGTGCTCCCATTGGTGAGGCTGGTGGAGGTCTTGGTGGAAGTCGTGGTGATGCTGGCCGTCACGCCCGATGAAGAGGAGGAGGATAGGGAGGAAGCTGCGGTCACAGTGACAGCAGAGCAAGAAGAGGAGGAGGAGGACTGCGTGGAAGGAGAAGGAGAAGCCTTGATGGCTGGGGAGGGAAGGATGGGGCGGGAGTATGTCCGCAGGGCGGGGGCCGCCGTGGAGGTGAGTTTAGGTGGAGCTGGGACGAGGATGTGAGGGGACAGAGCCCCGCCCGCCGCCGCCGCCTTCGGTCCGTGGGCCGAGGAGACAGAGGGAGCAGGGGTGAGGGGGGGAGGAGGGGAGGAGGTGGTGGGAGTTAGAGTGGGCGCAGGGGAGTCCAGGAGCATGGGGTTGGGGATGAGCCGTGGCGGGGTGGGGGTTGTAGGGGTGGAGGGGGCGGAGCCATTGGCGGCCTTTTCTGATTGGCTCTGCTGTATTGGCTCCTTGTCCATCATTCAACACTGAAACAAACTGAGACAAACAGAAATAAACAGTTTAATGACCATTAAACCTTCAATAAATCTGCGGGGGAAGATTATCAGTCATCCAGATCATAGCCATTCACAAAAAAGTTTAAAAATAAACCACTGGACTTTGTTTCCAAGTTTGTAGATGCTTCGCTTCCCATCCAGGAAGCTTTTTCAATTCAAAATGTCAGAAATAGGTATAACAAATGGATAACAGGATAACAAATAAAAAAATCGACACCCATTCCAAAGGGGCGGACCCCCGCGTCCGGTTCAATTTGAATGTTTTGCTTTGGTTCACTCTATAAAGCTATTTCGAATATTCGCTATTTTGAATTGAAAAAGCTTCCTGGACGGGAAGCGAAACGTCTTCAAACATATTTTCTATAATCTTGTTGCTGCTTTAAAGATTTCCCCATTGTGGGACAATAAAGGGATTTTCTATTTTCTACGTTCAGCTAATGATCTAGTCTGGACCCAGTTTTCAAATGAGAAAACTGTGTCAAATGAGACTGCGAAGAGCCCCAAACATCACTCCTCCTCTCCTATGCTGGACAGTGATGATGTGTTTGGTTGTTCTCCATTGCTCTCAAACAGCTGTGATTGTTTATTCTTTTTTTCTAGCTGCCTTGCTGCAAAATTTTTACCTCTAACCTGAGAACTTAAGCCTATAAGTTCTATGATTAACCTCTTGGGTTTTATATTGATGCTCTGACTTTGGGCTGAATCATTCAGGGCGTCCTGGTAGCTGTGTGAGATGGTTTCCTCTGAGAACAGTCTTCCTCTTGGTAGAACCATGTGCATCAGATGGTTTAAGATCATCGATTTACAGGCTGTAAGGTCACAGGTGATGCATTTACAGGCACCTGTTCTCTAGATCAACTTCTGACGTTCATCCTGCGTTGGTGCATCTGAACAGCAGCCACTTGCTGCTGTAAAAACCAGCAGGTTAGCAGATCATATTTTCTCATCCTACTGTTTTCTTTGTTTGTTTCCATAAACAATAGTTAGAACCTGATCTTAAAACGTGTTTCTTGATGTACAGAAAAAAGACAGTTTCACAAATAAAACCGCTGATCTTCAGCCACGTCATGATTGCATCATGTCTATATTGGCCTCAGGGGGCTTTTTACTGTCTGGGGTTAACCACCCCTCTGGCTCTGATCCAAACACATGGCTGGAGCTTAAACTGATGGTGTCGGGTGTCACCAACCCAACCGCGGCAATGACAGCCAATGAATCACTCGTTGGTGAAAATAACTTGCGGTTGCTGGTTTACATATTTAATCCGTCACTGTCTGGCCAAGGAGCAAAATGATCTAACCCTTTTTTTTAATGAAGATGTGAACTAAAAAGTGTGGAAAATCCTCAGAATGTCTGGAGAAATATTGAGAAAGTTGTCTGGAGTTAAAAAGGTCTGGGTTACAAAAGATCTAACTCTAACATCTTACCAGATCACAATCTTTAATGCAAGTTTTGAATATTAAATGTTAATTTGGGAACCTATAATCACTGTTAAAACAAATTCTGCCGTTTATCAAATTTCTATTTAAACAGGCTGAACAATTCTGCTTAGTCTAATGAAGAAATGGTATACATCACAATGGTTTCCAATCCAAAGTAATTATATTAAATATTAAATTTAATATAAAAAAAGAGTTTTAAACTGTTAATAAAAATATTATTGGAGCCATTATATCTTATTCTGACTAAAGGCGATATAGAACTGTCAGATTTTGAATCTATTATGTGTGAATGTACGTCGCTGTTGCAAACCTCCATGTTAAACCTAATGGATTCAGTATTTGCACTGATGTATGCGTGCTGATCTAATCTGTCCGGAATGAAGCAGATATAACCTGCTGATAACACAGGTGTGACTAAACAGGTGTGAGAATCTGCAGCCTTGAGACGTTATCTTTGTATTTATTTCGGTTTCTTTAATTTGCTTGACAGTGTTTGATTTTTTCTTTTTTTTTTTTGCTTGCATTAGATGTCCACATTTGTCTTACCTTTATTTTCTCTAAGTTGCTGGACAATAAACATTTATTTTTGCCTCATCTTAGTAAGTGTTGGCAGTTCTGCAGCTGCCTGCAGGTGGGATGTCAAAAGTAATGATGACTGCCAAAAAATGAAATGCACAATACCTGATTATAAAGTTAAAAGTATTTTGTTTAATCTTTTTAACATTAGCATTTAATTGTTTGGCATGCTATTCTTTCCAACTCAAATAAAAAAAGAAAAAACATACATACACACCTGGAAGCTAGTAAGTAATCAAAAAAAAATTCATATTATAAATCAGCCTTTATAAAACTGGAGCTCCTCTGAGTAACTCCCCTGTAATTGCATATAAACTTGAGAAATTGAGAACAAAATACAGAATAAAAATTATAGCCAGACTGACTCCATTTTTTCTTTTTGTTTTTTAACCATACATGACACCTGAGCTGCTTTGATCAGGAGGGGTGTAAAGGAAGCCATCTATGTTCAGCTTTCATAAAACTACAATGCAGCAATTGGATGGATCCCTTCCTGCTATCATCTCAGCCCCTGTGCAGGAGAGCGGCGGACCTCTCCTAACAACAATTCCCTTTAACGATCCCCCTTTCAGACACTTAGACAGGTATGGAGCATTGCAGGCTAACAAAAGAAACCAAATGACCCCCATTCCAAAGGGGTGGACCCGTTGGTCCGTTTCAATTTGCATGTTTTCAAAATAAAAACGCTATTCCTGACATTTTGAATTGAAAAAGTTCCCTGGATGGGAAGCAAAACTTGGAAATTCATTGTTTTTAATTTTCTTTTTTTGGAATCAGGTGTGATTCCAGGCTGTTCCTCTGCTTGCTTTGGATGGGTTTCAAAGCTGAAGCTGAACTCAAACATATAAAAAGAAGTTACTTTGGTTTAAAAAAAGCTTGTGTTATCTTTTTAGTTGGGTCCTCACAAAGTAGAACAAATCCCAGCCCTACTTTATTTTATTACCCGTGATATAAAACATCATCATGAAACCGTTGCGATGAACTCGCATGTTGGGAATCACTGCCTTAGAACAAACCATGACACCTGATGCTGAAAGACATTTCCATGGGATTTACATATTTTTTCTTTTTCAGTTGTGTTTAAAACTGAAAATGCCTTGAAATACCCGCCCAAAGTGAAGAAAAATGTCTGAAAATCCTTAACCTACACAACCGGCCAATAAGCACCCACATGAAAGCTGCAGTAGGGTGATTGTGTTAAAGAACAGCAGTTAGTTACAGATATTGAAAGTAGTGATATTGAAGCCTTTCTGTTTGAGTTGGAGCTGCAAGCTGGTGGAGGAGAACAAACCCAACAATGAAAAAATATCCTCTGGGATTTATCACATGTGTATTCTGACATGGATTTAGTTGAGACATTTATCTGCAGGGTTGTGCATAAACAACACATTCAAATCAGGTAATATTCTCATAAACTATGTTTACACTGGAAAAAATTGAAATCTAGATAAGTAATCTTTTCTTAAAATGATTGCATTTGATCTTGAATTGAGGAGATAAAAGAGACACTTTGCCAATGGAACAAGACAATTTACACTTAAAATATGAAAACACAATTGCATTGTCTTATTTCAAGAAAATATCATCTAATTATCTTATTTTAAGAGTAAATATACTCATTCTATTGGCAAACTATCTCATTTACCGACTCAAAATAAGAGTAAATACACTTAATTTAGGACATTTTTACTTATTTCTAGATTGTTTTTCTAGTGTATGAAGACACCTAATGGCATTTACTTAATCATATTTAGTTACTGTAACAGCATTGTTTCACATTAGCAGGTTAGGACATATAGCAATTGTGTTAAAGTAACTAAATATGATTAAGTAAATGCCAAAAGAGGTTGCATTATTTTTTTCAGCGAACTGTGTTTTCTGTGACGGTTTTTTTGTACCAGTTGTAACACTTCTAACGTGACTCTTTCACCTGTCTTAACAGTAAAGCTTCTACCACTTCCTGTCCTCCAGCCTGGCTCTGCTCTCTGTTGGTTTGTTGTGTTGCTGCAATAAGCTGCCATGCAGCTTATTAATAGAAATCCTGTTTTTGATCATAAAACAGGATAATTTGTTTGCTTCTAACAATAACTGACCAACTGTTTAATACAATAGGCCACCCCCCCTGTCTGTGTAGTTTAGTTTTATTAAAAGGTCAGCCTCCAGGAGCCTATATGGCTTCTTAATAAAGAGGGTCCAAACTCTTGTCATCTGTACCGCTGTATCAACTTCACATTTTATTCTTTAAACCTGAACAAGTTGTTTCTTTTTTAGTTTATTGCATTGCATAGAAGGTTTAAAAAAAAAACACTGGGATGTTTGTAATCTATCTCTCTATCTCTATATCTATTTATCTCAGGTTAAAGCTTGGATAATTTAGTTCCAGTTCACTACAAAATTACTGCAATGCTATTTTTCTTTGTCGTTATTTACTAAGTGTTAAGAACGCCTTTTCCTCTTTGCTGTACTCTTGTTTTTTTTTAATTATCAAAAATTTGCATGTAAACCAAAGATTTCCAATATGTTGCAACGTTAAATAATTGCCTAGCTTTAAGGTTTTGTGCAGGTTTTAAGATCAGATGTCCCCCTGAAGCCCTGTGGCCCCTCTACAGATTGAAGCCCTGCTCCAGATCCCCGAAACGGATGAAAACATTGGTTCGGGTCTCATCGCTGGGGGTTCTAGTCTTAAAATGTTTGCTCCGTCTGCAGCCAGAGCTTAGTTAAATGCACCCCATCATCATCGGGCAGGCAGGTGCCGCTCCAGATGCTGACATCTGGCCCCGCGGCCCCGCTTTGATGCAGCCCTGCACGTTGGTGACAGTTAGGCCAGAGAGCATGCAT